GTCCCGGCCCAAACCCCGGGGGGGGCCCCTTGGTTTAAAACGTTTTTCCCTTATTTAAAAAAAAGGGTCCCTGAATTTTTGGGCGTTTAAAAAAAAGGCCCCGGGGGGGGGGGCCGGCAATTCCCCCCCCCCCCGGTTTTTTTTTTTCCCGTTGAAAAAAAAACCCCCCCTCCTTTCCCCAAAACAATTTTTTTTTTTTTTTTTCCTTTTTTTGGGGGGGGGGGGGGGGGGCCCTTGCCCCGAAACCCCTAAGGTTTTGGAGGGAACCACAAAAAAAAAAAAAAAAGAGCCCCCTTGGAAAAAAAAGGGGTCCCCCCCCCCCCCCCCCCCCCCCCGATCAGAGAACATCTTGCGCAGTTTTCGTGCGCTGAAAGACTGAAGGCTGTTCACTGGTCAGCCGGATAGCGCGGTCGATATCAACTAAGGGAAGACAACACACGCACACACTTGATGTTACCCGCCGGCACCGACGTCTCTTCATTGGTCAGTCAGTTAGCGCGGTCTATGCAAATTTTTTCAATACTTCCAAGTACTAAAAAAAAGAAAAGACAAAAACATACACAAAAACATACACAAAAACAAATTCTCACCTGGAGCCACCACCCCTTGCGGAAGCGCCGTATCCCCGACCCCTGGCTGCACGCCTCCCGCCCTCTCCATCTGCTCGATGCGGTCCAGCGTGGGGAACAGCGAGTCCACCACCAGGCTCCGCACGATGGGGCACACCGAGAGAGTCTCTGGTGCCGTCGCGGTCTGCAGGGCCTGGAGCATGCGCTCGTAGGAAACCCCTTTCGAAAAAAAGAAGACGAAAAAGGAACAGAACAGAACAGAACAGAATAGAACAGAACAGAACAGAACAGAACAGAAAAACAAGAAATATTCGAAAAAAAAAAAGGAAGAAAAGAAAAGCAAGAACAGCAGAGAGGAGGTTGAGCACGGTTAGGGACGAGGCGATGCGCTCAACGGGACTCTCTGGATACCAAATTCAGAGAGCAGAAAACAACGGGGAATCGATTTCGGAAAGGTTTAAAAGCCCTGGAGCATGGAGACCACAATAATACTACCCCCCCGCTCTCGTACCGTTGACGAACTGGTCCAGGCGGAAGGTGGCCGTGGAAGCCCCTACGATCACGCGGCCTGAAGGGGTCGCATCCGCCAGTCCCTCTGGAGCGATCTTCACAACCACGTCGATGAAATGCGGCATCCTGAGACACGAGTGCACAAAGCAGTGCGGCGACCACACAAACACAACGCCATGTGTTCAAACTCAACTGACCGTAGATCGAGCTTGTAACAATTTCGCAACGAGTGCGGAATATATGGGTATTCGGTATTTTTAGGCTTGATTTTTTGGGGACGCAATATCAAAACTCAATTGGCATTTACGCGCGACCAACACAAAACCCAAGGCCATATCAAAAAACTTAAGTGGTAATCATGCATACAACGACCGCACAACGAGACCAGTCATGAACAATCGGTATGTATGCATACAACGACTACACAAACACAACACCAGTCAAGCACAATCAGAATGCACGCAGACATAACCATGCAAACACAAGACCATATCAACCTTAATCGATGTTCACCAAAGCGGTGCTTTCGCCACGCAAAACAAGTAACAGCAGCGTGACAATGCGAACGCAGTCAAAAGCAGCCAGACGCAATCATGCCTTTGGTGCATGCGTGTGTTGCTGTCCCATTTACTGCTGTAGCCACCGGGTAGCACGATAACCTAAGACGCACCACTCGGAGTCACATAGGAGAAAGGCCACACAGCAGTCTCTTTCCGCCCTTGTCTTGGTGTGATTGTGTGTTTCGTGCCGTCTACTCTTGGCGCCAGTCTACACCTATCCGCATAAACCGAAGCGCTTGAAATAACTTGCTGACAACAAGCTACCCCAGCGCAACGCGCCCCTCAAGCAAAAGGAAGGCCATACCGGAGTTCCCCCTTTTTCTTGTTTTCGGTTTAAAGAACACAAAGTAAATAATCTCTTCCCGTACGAGGTCCCCTTTTTTGTTCTCCGCCTCTATCTTCGCAAGCCCTAAAAAAATGAAATAAAAAAATTAAATAAATCGTGCAACAGCGGAACGCACATCTGATGAACGACACCGTCGACAACATGCTCTGTGTCCGTAGATAACGAGTTCACTTCTTTTCAATATTTTCGCCTCTTTTCCACGAGAGCGACAAAAACACGCACGCAGACACGCACACGCCGCCCCCTCACGGGGTGTCCCAGTTCATGGCATTTACAAGTGTTTCGTGCTTTCAACCGCACTGAGACTGACGCCATTTCATTGGTCAGCCGGTTACCGCGGTCGATGCTAAGTAACAAAAAACATACACGCACACTTGTTTTCAACCGCACTGAGACTGACGCCATTTCATTGGTCAGCCGGTTACCGCGGTCGATGCTAAGTAACAAAAAACATACACGCACGCTTGTTTTCAACCGCACTGAGACTGACGCCATTTCATTGGTCAGCCGGTTGCCGCGGTCGATGCTAAGTAACAAAAAACATACACGCACACTTGTTTTCAACCGAACTGAGACTGACGCCATTTCATTGGTCAGCCCGTTACCGCGGTCGATGCAAGTAATAAAGACACACACAAAAAACACACACACCACACACACCTCTGAAGAACAACACCGTCGAGCACAGAACCGCTATCCATCTCGGCCTGGGTGGGTGGCGACTTCCCTCGCGTGATAGCGACGATGTCCCCGGCCGTGAAGCGGTGGTACGGCATCGGCGGACGTCGGACAGGGCTCCCCTTCGACTGCGAACAAGGACCATGGGTGGAAAAGGTGGTTGGTGCTTGTGGCGGGTGGTGGAGGGGAAGAGGTGGTGGAGTTCGATGGTATCGGTATGGTGTGGTGAGAGTGAAAAAGATGAAGAAGAGGAGGGAAAAATAGAAGCCAGAATCGGCCAGTGGTCCCCATGCTTGTCTCCTCTCTCTCTCTCTCTCTCTCTCTCTGCTGCTGCTGCTGCTGCTACTACTACTGATGTGGCTGTGCTCTGATTCTCTCTGTATCCCTGTCCTGCTGCTGCTCTCTTGTTTTCATCCTCTTTCTTTCTCTTACCCTGTTGTCTCGGCGCCGCGGGGGGAGCGAGAACCGCACCACGTGCTCGCGGAAGAGACGGCCGACCCTCGCCCCGACCAAACCCTGCACGGTGTAGCCGCCGGAGGACAGCTCGTGCTGCGTCCAGGAGGTCATCCGTTCGTACGCCTTGTTCTGTTCGTGCAATAATTTCGTTCAACACATTATTTTTTGGGGGGGGGCGGGGGCGGGGGGGGGTTGGGGGGCTCAGTGTCACCCATCACCAACGTGCATTCCGATTTTCACGGGATTCAAACTCAAATTTCTGCGAATTCGACGCGGAAGCTTGTGGATCAGTTGTCGCCGTAGACAGCCGCGGTTGGGGAGATGGCGTGCGCGCAGGGTGTGTGTGCGCGTGTGTGTGTGACATGCCTTTGTTTTGAGTCTGTTACCCATGCAGTTCGACCGAAACAACACTAG